TTCTTCCGTTATATTTTTAAACCTTTTAGCTAGGTACTATTTTAAATTAGGATTCCAACTTCGCTATTCTACTTAATATTATAGTTTATTATCTGCGGTTTTTAATAATAAAATCTAGTATACCTCCTACTCTTCTTCGTTTCCTTTAATAATCTCGCCTTCCGGGTTGGGTCTCGTTAAGTTGGGTAGCGGGTTCTTATCGTCCTTTCGAAGGCGTTTGGTATAGAATACCCTACGTCCTTTCTATAACGGTAGTAATTTAAGTTTGTAAGAAAATCCTTTTATAAATTTAATATAATATAATATTCTTATTTGTAGGAAGTCGAGTTTATCGCTAAGTTAATTGGTCGATTAGTATTTTTTAATAATAAAAATTCTATCCCCTACTCTGAAATTTAGATCCTTCCGGTAGCGATTAGCCTAGATGGTTTATTTCTCTTAGGCTTTATTAATAGTTTTAAATACTACTTCGTAATACTCCTATAGAGTTTTCGTTATAGTTTGTACTTCCGCTCTATTAATTTTCTCTTTGGTTAATAATTCTATTAGACGGGTTCGAACTTATTAATTAAAAGAAATAGGTATAGGATAACCTATAATTACTTTGTACGGAAAGAGGCTATTAAAGTTCTTATATAGTAGAATTACCTACGCCGAATTTAGAGCGGGTAATGTAATAGACTAATTATTTTAGTTGTAGTTAATAAATAATTGTTATTACAGGCATTGCTGCTATGTTCTTATATATAAATAGGTGCTACACTACAGTGGTACAGCTAGCTTGTAGCTGTCTAAGTACAGTACAATAGTTATATGCCTACGTAGTTCGGTCTGGCTGTAGTCCGTATATTAAATCTACAGCGTACTCTATATAGTTCTCGTACGCGTATAGGATTCTCTTCCTATTCCTCGCACAACAATCAAAGTCTTAACTTAGTACTTACTCGCGCTCTATAATACTTTATTATACTTAACCATCGTATTAATACGTAATAAGTAATTTCGAAAAGACTAAATATAGTAAGAAACTACCGTAATAAATTAATCTTTGTAAAATTATATTCGGCCGACTAATATAATTACTAACAATTAATTAAAAAAATATTTAATATCAGTTAATATAAAGCGAAATTCTAAATAAATACTACAAATAGTATTAATATTGTAAATACAATCGTCGTAGTAAAATTAATACCCTTCTTATTTATTATTTTTAAATATTATCGGTTAGAATTATAATAAAATATTTAATTCTAAAAATAAAACTTAGTAGGATTAAGTTAACTTACGTAAAATATTCCCAATACTATTAAAAGACTTCGATTAACTCTAATACATTTATAAAAAGGAAGTAATAAATTTCCTAATCTTTAAAAACTTTGTTAAAAAAATTAAAGACTCCTATAAAGTTATAAAGTTACTTTATTACTTTAACGCTAAATTCAAGGATCTCAATAATAAAATCAATACTATTACCAAATTAAAAAATAAATTAATAATCGCCTCTAAAAAGGAGGTAGAGGACTTTAAAACCTACGTTACTATATTCGAAAACCTTAAAGCCTAGCAAATTACTTAAATTAATTAGTAATAATAAAAGTATAATAGCGTTGTTAAAAAAAATATAGTCTTATAAAAGAACGTTACTTCCCTATAGTTAAATAACAATTCCTTATATACTATTATTAATTAAAAAGAATGTAACGTAGTAACTGTAGAATAATAATATACTAACTTACTAATTACATTTTAATCCTAGAATAATACCTTCGAAGAAATAAATATCAATTTTAAAAAAGCCTTCGTGTAAGCTAATCGGACTAAAATTCTTTATAAAGAATTAGAGTATATTAAAAAGAAATTTAAAGAAGCTTAGATTAATATACAATTTAATACTGATCTAAATACTTCTACCGAAGTACCTCCTAAAAAGAACGCTACCTACTTTACTTAAATAAATAATAAAACCGAGGCAAATATCTATAATAATAGTAAAAGATTCAATAATAATAATATTAACTATATTAATAATAGTAATATAAGAGGAGCTATTATTAGTAGTATTAATATTAGTAAGTTCGACGTTAGTAGTATAGGAGGAGTCGGCGAACCTACCGGTTAAAAGTCCGGAATAAATGAAGGATATAGTAAATATAGAGGATTTAACTCTAAAGGATTCAATCTTAGAGGATTTAATTCTAAAGGGTTCGGTCCTAACGGCCCTAGAGGCTCTAATAATCCCGGAGGTCCCAGTAGTCCTAAAGGACCCGGTAGCTACTTTATAGGCTTTAAAGGACTATACTTTATTTATATCCCTAATAATACGTATATTCGCTATTACAATTTAATTAAAGACCCAAAGTAATTTATTGGTAAGGAAACGGACACTTTTAAACGCTATAATTAATTTATCGCTTAATCTACAACTATTCGTACTTATTAGAAAATTAATAACTATAACTTTATAAACGAAAAGACTAAACTATTTTATATAATAAGCTACTTAGAGGGCGAAGCCAAAATAATTATCGCTTCGAATATTAAAAAAATTCTAAATAACCCGCATTATTTAGCCGCCTAGGATTAACCCACAGAATAGGGGTTCCTAAACTACCTTACTTCTTATTTTTAATAAAATAACGTTATAATAATTTTAAAGAAGGCTATAGCCTTACTAAAGTAGAGTATAGGTTCTAATAATAAATTTACAAACTTTAGCAACTTCGAAGCGTAATTCACTATATTAATAGATAAATACAATTATAATACAACTACAAAAATCCGTATATTAAAGGACAAAATTAATAAAAACCTCCGTATAACGATATTATATTAATATAATACCCCTAACTGTAAGGATTAGGAAGGCTAAGTAAAATTTTACTGTAGCTTATTGAAATTACTAAATAATATTACCTTCCGCAATAACAACAACCAGTCTAATAGTAATAATAATAATAATAGTAGTAGTAATAGTAAATAAAGGGACCCTAAATCTATAGAGTTTAACCGTATTAAAATAAACGAAATTAACTCTAAAATTATTTAAACTCAATTCGTAGCCAAATAATATATTAAATACAATAAATCTAACTACTAAGCCCACAAATATTGTAGCCAAATTAATTATAATAGTAAATTTAAAGTTACTAATTCTAATTCTAATATTAATAAGGGTAGCGGAGGAAGGAATAGTAATAAAGAAGGCAGAAGTAATAATAAGCAACAAATTCGTTTAATAATAAATTTAATAGCTATAAAGGAAACTACTAAAACGGCTACTCTTAAGACTACCGCCGCTACCTAATAGGAAAATAGCGAACCTTCGGAATAAAACGTATCCAAAGGCCTAATAGGGACTAAGGGAAGGAAGTTATAAGTAGTTTTATTAAGAATATAAATATTTAATAGGCTCTTACTTATTAAAAAGGCAAACCTTTATTTATAGAAAATTTAAACGTTTATAAATAGAATACCACCTTCTTATTTATTTACCTTTAATACCCCCCGTATAATAATAAAATTAATTATATATCTCTAATCGATTTTAATTATATAAGAAAAACTTTTATTAATAAGACTTTCGCAAAAAAAACGTATTTCAAAATACACTAACTTAATAAAGTAAGACCCTTATATTTAGCTAATACCGGATTTAAAGAATAGGTCGAACATTATATAGAAACAATAATACGAATCGGTTACTATAAAGAAATAATCCGACTTTTTGTAATAAATTTAATATAGGAATATTCTATTATTTTGAATTAATTATAATTATAATTGTACAATCCAAATACTAATTGAATAACTAATAAAATAATATAGAATAAAAAATATATTAAAAATTCTATTAATATGGCTAATATTATTAGGGTAATAGTAATATTAGTATTTCTAACTTTAAACCTAATAACGAATTCGCCCTTAGAGGACAAATTAATAATAGATTCCCCCTTGAAAGAGGAACTAATAATAGATTTATCCCTAAATAAAGGAAGGAGAATTATTAAAATATTAAAATAATGGGCAATTATTAATTTTTAAAAACCCTAATTAATAGAGTAGGTAGTAGCTAATTAAATATTAATCTACCCTATGGAAGCTTCGAAAGGAAGCTAAATACTAATAATAAAAGCCCCTTTGTAATTAGCGGCAATTAGAAATTTTAAAGAGCCGTTCGGTCCGGACAAGAACCTAAAGAAGCTCAAGGCTATAATAAAAGTAAAAAGAAGCCGAAGAATCTAAACTATAGCGAAACTAGAACGTATTAAATATACCTACTTCTACTAATTTAAACCGGTAAACCTAAAAATAAATCCCCTCAACCCAAAAAACTTTAAATTAATTAATATAAAGACCTTTACAATAACAATACAAATAAGAAGCGTCCGTATTAATTCTATTATATAAACGGAACTCTAAGAATTTTAAAAGAATAAATTACAAATTTCTATACCTGCTCTAACTAAGGAAATATAGAAGGATATTATATGAGGGAGAGGCGAACTATATAAGAAATACTTCGAAAATTCTAAAATTCACACCTTTATCAACGTTTATAAAAAGAAATTATAAGTAAAAAGACATCAGTCGTATCCCTCTAACCAAAAGAAATAGTATAAATATTCGTAAATTATATTTATAATTTGAAGGAGGAATCTACGGATAAAAGAAAGCTAACCCTATTAATAGAAATCGACCGTATTTATAATATTTCTAAAGAAAATATATAGAAATTTATAAATAAATTTACTAAATTAAAATATACGCCTAAGGAAATTAAGGAGCGTTTCCCGAATAAATATAAAGATTTATCGAAAGTAACCAACCCTATAAATATAAATATACTATTAAAGTACTAATTTTATAATTATAAAATCGAATTAATATTAGGCAACGAACTACTATACTTAAGGGCTAGACCTATATTTCCCTAAAAACTCAAAATTATTAAGCAATAGCTTAATAATAACTTCGTAAAAAGATTTATCTAACCTTCAACGTCCAATATCGCCTCCCCAATACTACTTATATATAAATTAGGTAATGGAGTAAGAATCTACGTCGATTATAAGGGTATTAATAACATCTCTCTAAAAAACCGCTACCTATTACTGTTAATTAAGGAAATTCTAAATACTATCTATAGAGCGAAATAATTTACAAAAGTAAACGTTATTATAATATTTAATAAACTACGTATAGTAGAGGGCTATAAATAGTTAATAGTATTTATTATACGATTTAAATTATACGAATCGCTAATATATCCCTTCAATCTATTGGAAGCGCTAGCTTCTTTCTAGAATTTTATTAATAATATCCTCTATAATATTCTAAATATCTATACTATAATATATCTTAATAATATATTAATCTTTTCAAAAATATACGAAGACTACGTAAAGTACGTATAGGAAGTATTCTAACGCTTAATTAACGTAGGATTATAAATTGATATTAATAAATATAAATTTTATATTTAATGTATAAAGTATTTAAATTTAATTATTACCCTAAGTAATATTAAAATAGACTCAAATAAAATTGAAATAGTTACTCGCTAGGAAGCGCTAATATCGAAGCAATAATTATAATAGTTTTTAAATTTTACTAACTTCTACCAGCGCTTTATAGCCTAATTCTCCTCTATAACTAAACTTCTATACGAACTTATAAAGAAGGGTACAAATTGGTAATAGAAGGATAAATATAATACTACACTTAAAGTATTAAAGAAAGTATTTACTATAACCCCCGTCCTAAAGATCTATAACTAAGAGAAACTTATAATAATAAAAATTAATACTTCTAATTAATTATTAAGAAATACCCTATCCCAAATATACAAAAACGGCCAACTTTACTTAATCGCCTACTTTTTAACTAAATATCTTACAACCGAATATAACTACAATATTTATAATAAAGAACTTTTAATAATTATAAAAACGTTAGAAGAATAGCAGCTAGAATTAGAAAGAACGTTTCAACCATTTAAAATTATTATAAACTATAAGAACCTAAAGATTTTTAATACTATAAAGAAACTTACCCCTAAATATATATACTAATTTAAATTCCTATCTCAATTCAACTTTACAATTAAATATAAACCAAATTTTATTAACGTACAGCCAAATAAATTAAGTAAAAAGCCGGAATATATCCCTAAGAACATCTTAAACGACTAATTATAAATTAGAAAAAAACCGTTAATTAACCCTAACCGCTTTAACAATTCTTTCAACCTCCCCAAAACCGAAGAAAAGGAATTCTATATTAATATAATAACCGAAGAAGGAGAACTACTAATAATCTACACTTTAGAGGGAAAAGAAAAGGCCAATAAAAATAGCAATATAAGGATCTATATTAATAACTTAATAATAAAATTATATAGCAATTCATTAATAATAGCAAACATAACTACAATTATTAAAAAGGGTAATTATTAGCTAAAATATTTAAAAAGGGTTCTAAGAATTCCTTTTGCAAAGTATTACTTTATAAATAATAGAGTAATATTCTAGAATAAAATTATAATACCCCCTAACAATAAAAAAACCTAGCTAGAATTAATCTATAAAATTTATATTTCAATACTAAAAAGGCACCCCAAACGAAATAAGATCCTCAATTTAATAAACCGTATATATTAATAGCCGGGCTTAATTATAATAATTAATACTTATTATAAAGAATATCTATTGTACTCAAAGACTAAACTATTAAGGACAGCGCTAATAAGCTTTCTAAAGCCGCTACTACTACCTTACGTACTGTGAAAAAACATTTCTATCGACTATATAATACTGTTCCCTAAATCGATAAAAAATATAAAAAGGGTAGTATACTAATACGTAATAATAATAATAGACAAACTAACTAAAATAAAATATTTTATTCCTTACGAAGGTTTATTTACTAAAAAGCTAATAGAAAAATTTATTAACTATATCTATACCCTATACGGCCTACCGGATACTATCGTTTCAAATAAAAAAATATAATTCGTATTTATATTTTAATAATAGTTATTAAATAAATTAAGTATTAAACTAAAATTATCTATACTATACTATAAAGAAACGAATAGCTAAATAAAAAGGGTTAATACTGAAATAGAATAATATTTTAGGACCTTCGTCAATTAGGTTTAAAATAATTAAATAAACTAATTAATACTAACTAAATTTTAAAATAATAATCTACAATCTACAACTACAAGAGTATTACTATTCTTTACTAATTACAAATTTTACCCTCGGATAGGTATAAAACCTATAAAACTACTACCGCTAAACGTATTACTAAAGTAATAATAATAAATATTTAAGACTAATAAAATTATAGAACAATTTAAAGTAATTTAGAATAAATTAATTGTATTATCAAAACAAACTTAAAACTAATATAAGGCGGCAGCCAATATAAAACGGACGGACTCCCTTAAATATAAATTAAACGATATAGTAATATTAAATATAAAAAACTATATTATAGGACGGCCAATAGCAAAGTTATTACTACAATTTAAAGGCCCTTTCTATATAATAAAAATAAACTCCCACTCGTTAGAACTATCCCTACTAACTAATATAAAAGTTACTTACATTATTAATATCTCAAGAATAAAACCTTATATAAACGGATTACTAGAATAGTCTAATCTAATTATAAACGTTAAAGTAAACGAAGGAATAATAATTACCAAAATTAATAATTTTATTAAAGAAAGACGTTAAAAATTCAAAATACTATTAAACTACTAAAAAGTAAGGAGTAACTAGTATTATCAAATAAAATAAACTTATTACCCCCTTAACTAACAACTAATAATAAACTTAGAAGGTTATAATAAATTAATCTAAGAACTTTACAATACTCGCCTAAAACTAGGCCCTCCTCACCCAATTTTTAGAAAAGGATTCAAAATATAGTAAAAGGCAAAAAACTCCCTACCCAAAAACCCCTAAATATCCTCTAACAATATCTCAACGCCACCAAAACGACCTTTACTAGAACTAACCTCGAACCGACTAATATAGCGGAATATAAAATTAAATAATAAGTAAGAATTTAGTAAAAAATAAAGAATTTAATTTAATTTATTTCGTACACCCTAATTAAATACCTCCCAATATACCCTTTTATAAAATAACTATCAATAGTACTAAAAGATAGTACGTTTTACAGCAGTCTTACATCTCCTATTCCCTTAGAAACGGCCTATAACCACACTAGAAACCTACAACGGATAAGATTGGAAAAATAAGAAGGATCTAAAAGACGTTAACAATATTTATTTAAATATTTATATAAAAAATAAGTTACAAATAGGGAATTAAATATACAAACTCTCCAAACTTATATTAGTAGTAGTTATAAACATCCTACGTAAACCGCTATACTATAGACGTCCCTATAATACCCCCAATAGAGCTAATAGTAATAAAAATCGTTAAAATCTTCTATACACGTTAATTAAATAGGTTTCTAGCGTATAAATAAATTATTAAGGGTAATAATAGTTCTTTCGGTAATAATAGTCTTATTCCCTATATTATATAATTATAGTACCTTATTGGTATAGGGTCCTTCTCTAGGTTTTTAGAGGGGAAAACTGTATAGTATTAAGCGCCGCTAGATAAAAACCCCTAGCTTTATTTCGGCCGTAGATCTCTATACCGCTCCTACTTTATTTATAATTATAATAGTTCTTACCTACTACTATAATAAACTAATTTCATTTCTCCCTTTACTATATTATTCTAATATTAGAATAATAAGGATAATAAAAATAGGACCTAAAGTGCCGCCTCTCTTCGTCGCTTCTCCGTTTTAATCCCTACTACTCCTTCCTCCACCTTCCTCCTACTTCTCTATTTTATTTTTCTATTTATTTTCCTACTTTTCTATTTTCTTACTTTATTTATAGTTACTTCCGCCTTATCCCTTTACTTCTTACCCCTTAATTCTACTTTTATTTATAATAGTATAAGGACCCTTTCTTTTATTTATATAATCCTCCTTATAGCGCCCCTTCCTAATTTTCCTCTTCTTTCTTCCTTATTATATTACTATTTAAAATAGTTTCCTCCGGTCGTTACCGCCCTAACCCGATCGATCTAACCTCCGACTTAGAGGTTTTTTCCTCCGATCTATCCTTAGGCCCTACGTCCTCTTTAAATTTTACGGCCCTAATTTATTTAGAGCCTATAGTATTTTTTTATTCTTTTTATAATAATCCGGACTTTATAGCCCTTTAGAATTAGTATAATTACCTTTTCTATTATTTTTAATCTATATACTAATCCGTTTAGTATTATTTATAAAATCCCTTACCTTTACTATACTTTAAATTTTACTATATTTTTAAAAATCGGTTAAAGGCCTGCTTCTTCTAATAATTTTTATAAGATAATCGCTAGTAAGACTTATTTTATTTCGGTTATTAGTAGGTTTTTTATTCTTCCTTTTTTTTATTCTTTAATATTAATTAACTTCTATTCTTAATTACCTACTCTTAAAATACAATTTATATTTTTACTACTAATAAATATATATTAAACGTTCCTACTAGCTTTTATAACGCTTATAACGCTATTTAATTAGTAATTATTACTATAATATTAAATAGCCCGGCCGGATATAATTAGAAATTAGACTCTTTTATTTATATTATTAATTATTTTATTAAATTTATATACGAACGTTTAATATAGAATGGTCTATTTAATTACTTTAATAATCTTTTTTATACCCTATATTATAACGCTATTAATTTTTAATAGAAGGGCTACTATAAATTAATTATAAAGGACGTTCGCTATAGCCGTACCCTCTCCCTTCTTAATAATAGCGCTATAAACCTAATTTAAATTATTTTTATTTTTAATAATAGTATAATTATTTATATATATATTATATTCGGTAATAGTAGTACTACTATTTTTATTCGTATAGTCTCCGGTTTTAATAGTAGTAATATTACCCCTAATCGTCCTATAACCTTCAATACCCCCGGTCGCCCTATTATAAATAAAAATTAAATTTAATAGCGTTATAAAATTATTCTAAATTAAATTTATATAATAATACTATTTAAAAAGTTTTTTAAATATAATTAAACGTTTATTAAATAGTACTTCCGTTT